GAGCAGCCAAGACAAGCAGGATGGAGATTCCAGAATTGTCGTGCTCGGATGTGGGCCATACAGGATCGGCAGCAGCGTTGAGTTCGACTGGTGCAGTGTCTCGTGCATTCGAACTCTCCGAACCTTGGGTCACACAGCCATCGTCATCAACTGCAATCCTGAGACGGTCTCTACGGACTTCGACGAGTCGGACCGGCTCTACTTCGAGGAGCTCAGCCACGAGCGTTTGGGTTGCTGTTAAGAAACTTAATTCGACTCACTATTTTCTGGAAAGCATCTTTGTTTTCCAACATGCACCTATGTTATGGTAACTTACTTTGGTAGTTTCCCAAAATTAAGGTACCCCAATGTAGACCCCACAATACTATAATCCTGATTATAGGGACCCCCAAAATTGTACCCCTAATTTTAGGAAACCCCCATATGCACCTATGTTATGATAACTCAATTTATGTTCCTTAACAGCAACCCAGGCGTGTTATGGACATCGCAGAGCTTGAGAAGCCCCGGGGTGTGGTCATCTCGGTTGCTGGGTTCTTACCCTAAACCCTGAATGCTAAACCCTAAACCCTAAACCCCAAAACCTAAACCCTAAACTCCAACCCCCAAACCCTAAACCCTTAAACCCCCAAACCCTAACCCTATAGTAGTTTCCATTTTCTTTTCCATTATCCCCACATAACCCCAATATATACCCTATAATCCCTATAAAACCCTATATAGTCCTTATAGTTAGAGCCAAGGTTGGAGGCCAGACGCCCAATAACTTAGCCCTGGGCTTGACTCAGTGCGGTGTTCGCATCCTTGGGACATCCGTGGAGGCCACTGGTTTGGTAAAAAAGGGCTTCTATTGGGATAATGGAAAAGAAAATGGAAACTAGAGGGATGATATAGGCTTTAGGGTTCTATGGTCTAATGGAAAAGAACATGGAAACTACAGGGATTATATAGGGTTTAGGGTTTAGGGTTTAAGTTTTAGGGTTCTATGGTATAATGGAAAATAACATGGAAACTACTCTAGTATATTCGGGTACATATTAGGGTATATATTAGGGTATCAAGTTAAGCTAGTGTAGTAAGAACACCCTATCATTTACTATATACCCATATTATGGTAACTTGGTTTAAGATCCCTAAACCCTAAACCCTAAACCCTAAAACATCAACCCGGAGGCCATTGATGCCTGTGAGGATCGAAACAAGTTCAGCCAACTCTGCGACTCCCTGCGCATCGATCAGCCAGAGTGGTCGCAGTTTCTGGGTTGCTGTTAAGGCGGCTTAGGGTTTAGGGTTTAGGGTTGAGGGTTTAGGGTTTAGGGTTAAGGAACTTAAACTAAGTTACCATAAGGGGTATATATATATATAGGGTTATATAGGGATAATGGAAAAGAAAATGGAAGCTACTATTCAGGGTTTAGGGTGTAGGGAATTAAGTTACCATAATGGGTATGTATATATATATAGTAAATAATAGGGTTTCCCCAATATAGTAACTTAAATTAGGTTCCCTAACAGCAACCCAGGTTTGCAACACTACAGGAGGCCCGTAACTTCTGCAAGGTTGCAGGCTACCCGGTGCTGGTGCGTCCATCCTACGTCCTCTCAGGTGCGGCCATGCGTGTAGTAACCAACGACGGTGACCTGGACCTGTTCCTGAAGACCGCCGCTGTGGTGAGCCGAGAGCACCCTGTGGTAATCTCAAAATACATTACGGGGGCAAAGGAAGTTGAGATGGATGCGGTTGGAAAGGCTGGAGACCTTGTGAACTACGCGATCGCTGAGCATGTAGAGAATGCAGGCGTCCACAGCGGTGATGCCACCCTGCTCTTGCCCGCCCAGCGCCTCTTCGTTGAAACGCACCGGAAGGTCAAGAGCATTTCGCAGAAGCTGTGCCGCGCACTGAAGATTTCTGGACCCTTCAACATCCAGTTCATTTGCAAGGACAATGAGGTGAAGGTCATCGAGTGCAACCTTCGAGCATCAAGGTCCATGCCCTTTATCTCCAAGACCTACAACGTGAACTTCATTGAGCTGGCCACCCGCATCATGACTGGCATGCCAGTGCATCCTGCAATTATCCAGCCAATGGATATCGACTTTGTAGCCTGCAAGGTGCATGGATTATAGGGATTATATAGGGGTTATATTGGGATTATAAAGGGATAATGGAAAAGAAAATGGAAACTACTATAATATAGTAGGGTATATATAGGGGTTATATTGGGGTTATATAGGGATAATGGACACGAAAATGGAAACTACTATTTAGGGTTTAGGGTTTGGGGTTTAGGGGGTTATAGTCCTCCTTAAGTAGATAGAATATGGGGTATATGGGGATCTTATCAGAATATACCCAAAGCCGTATTCTATCTATTTAAGGGGGACTATACTGCTAGCCCACATCATCCATAAGTCCGATTTGAGATTTGCAAGCCATGCGGGCTGCTAGGGTGCCGTTTTTATCAAAGCATTTTGAGTTTTAAAGGCTGTGGTGCATGCTGCTAAGCTGCTAGTCCGTAGCTTCTTCAAGCCTCCTCGGTTCCAAAGATCTTGCGGGTTGCCAGCCCGCAGCTGCTGGAAGCCCAGTTTCGAGACCACAAGATGCACGGCCAAGCTTATTCCCCTGTAAATCTCCAAGCGCAACGGGACCATGAAATTGGCCCGACCTGTTTTCCTGTGTCCTAGCTATGATCCCAAGATGGGGCCCATACTTGGCGCGCATAGTTAGTTCCAATCTCAGACAACCAGGTTGGACTTAAACGTCGGCTTCTCTTCACCGCAGACGCCATGCCCTCAGGGGCTACTCATGTAGCTTGAGTCAGGGATGCGCAGCTTACATTCAAAGAGAAGGGTGCCCATTGCAATGACCATTACAGTGACTTCTGATAATCCTTGCCTCGTAGGCATGTTTCCAGGTGGCCGTGGATTATTGCAGGTTCAGAAAGCCTTTCTACCGACATGGCGAAACACAACAGTGATGCTTCTCAAAGTTATGAAAGTCATAGGACCTGCCACTTACGACGCTAAATCTCTGAACATTTCTGAACTTCTGTTCTCATTTAGTGCCCAAGATTCTCGAGTATCAGGGTTTACAGAGCTATGAGGCTTTGTGGTCGGCAAAAAGTGCTACCCCTTTTGAGGAGCTTGAAAGCGATTGTTAGTATTTTTTTGGCAGATGACTTTAGACTTGCATTGAATGAGAGACATGTGTATCAGTTGTATATTCATGGTATACAGTGTCATGAAGGAGGAACCCCGTCAGGGCGGAAGGTTTGGTAATTCTGTACCATGACGACAGGTTGGAGGGAAGAGCAAACAGGAAGTGGTTTTTGCTTGTTCTTGCCGAGACCGTTGACAGCCTGCGCATGTGTTTGTCACAAATGGGGTTTCCTTCTGATGTTATTTGACCCAGACCGCTGATTAATACACCCCCTCCTCTGAATGGAGACAATAAGAGGGATCCTAATATGAAGGCCCTTAAGAGGAGCGGGTTGAATAATCATGGGTCTACATCATCTGACGCATGTCATACGGATGCTACGAAGCCTCTCACAAGAGAAGAAGTTCAAGAAACCTGCCCAAATATATAGTCTGTTTTTCTTGGCCTGTTTCATGGGGTTTCCAAACCATGGTTGCCATTCAATTACAAGGGTGTCATTGTCTAGTCGAGAGTCGAGAGCGGCATTACTTGAGAGGTCTCTATATATGTATATGTTTACATATAGATGTCTTTTTCTTATTTGGTAGTTTCTTTAAATGGGGGACCGTGATATAGACTCCAAAATACTCTAATCCTTGTTATCATGGAGACCCCCAAAAAAGGTACCGTCAGTTCTGGGAAACCCCATATTCCCTAAACCTTAAATAGTAGTTTCCATTTTGTCTATTATCCCTATATGACCCCTCGATAACTCTGCATATCCCCTATATCACCCCTATATAACCCCTATAAAGCCCCATTTGGGGTATAGGAGAGCCTGGAGCTTGAGTAAGTATCAGATGGCCTGTCCCTTGCGATTTAAGCTTTGCGTGTGGACTTTGCCACACCCTATATGCCCCTTTAAGTTACTAAGATCCCATATATCTCAGATTCCATCTACTTCACATGGGCTATAAGCCCGAAACGCAACATCCCACAACCTGCAACCCGCATCCATTTTTAAATCCGCATCCTACGACTGAATCCATGCTTCCTGCGCGATGGCGTTTTGAAACCTAGAATAGGTTCTCGTCCCCAAGCCCGAAGGCCTGCCAACCAACCCTTGAAAGCTTGGGTACTGTCCCCGGGAAATCTTTATGATTGGGGCGATATTCAGCGTTGTATATCATAATGTCAATGAATATCTTCCTATATTATACCATATTATCATATAGTAGCTTCCATTTTATCATCCCCTATATTATACGGTGCCCGACTTTCACTGAGTGGGACCAGTAGCCTCGGTAAAAGCGACGGCTTTGCAGAGGCTACACATCCGGGTAGCAAGTGGGTTAGGCCTCCATATAATCACCGTTATCCCCTATGGTCAGTATTAGTCGGAGAGGCCAACCCCAGAACTAGGGTCTAGGCATTAGTAGGTGTGAGTGTTCAGGGATTGGTGGTATTGGGCTCAGGCAGGAAATCGTATGTCATGCATCGAGTTGTTATACTCACCATGGGGCTTCTCCAAATCATGAGGATTTTTTGGACTATTCTACATAGTTCGGCACATATGAAGGGGTCCCCGCAAGAGAAGCGTAGCTCTGACAATGCACAAAGAAAACTACTTGGCCGGATCGAGACTGGTGTCCCCTAAAAACGCGCAAGAAGGCGCAAACACCCAAAGTTCAGCACACGAAATCCCATAATTGCCAAATCCCGCAGCCCTAACCCTAAAGCACATCATCGTAAACCCCACGCCCTAAACCATGTCTAAAGCCATTCAAAAACACAGCCTTTTAGCTCTCAAGCAGCACCAGCGGTTCCAACCCATCTCTGCCTTGCACACATCTCACCATGGCACGCCGAACCTGGACCGCTGTGAGAATGCTTTGTTTTCTTTTTGTCTGTTGTGTGGCTTTCATCGTTTGTTGTTTTAGCCCTAGCATGAACACCAGTTAAGTTTCAAACTGCCACCCAGGTCCTACATTACAACCAACTCGAACAACTGAACTTGAGGCTCAAACGCTCACGTCTAAATCTGTTATCATCCTTGTTTCATGGGACCGACCACCTTTCCTTCAAAAAGAACCTTACGTTTTGGCAGCCATCAAACCAGCAAATCTTTGGATCTAATTACCCCAAACCCCAGGACCTATTGTTGGTGGAAACTGGAAGTGCAATCCGGACAGCATGAGCAAGCTGGACGCCTTGCAGCCCTGGAAGGTTTGGTCTGACTTTGGGGGTTTACCCAAAAAACCCATGCAAATCCCCAATCTTGGAGCATCCCAGTGTTCGGCTTTGACTATCATCACCGGTGAACAATAAGTCAAGTTGATGCTTAAAACGCGGACGGAAGATATTGAGCATCTCACCTTTGCTGTGACATCAAAACAGTGCAAGTTCGCACAGATTGGCGAGGAGAATTACGAAAGTCAGAGGTGACATGCACGCATGCACGCCTTGCTACAGACAGCTTCGACAGCACCCGGATTCCAGCAAGGATTGGACTAGGCAAGAAACCTGAAGTTGTGACCAGGTCATCCTTGCCTGTAGTCTCCTAAAATTACAACCACGGATAGTACTGGAGTTTGAAAATATGCTCGGTTTTTATGCGCCCGGCTGCTGGCAGTTACCTCATGTTGGTAAGCCCACCGGCGAATGCATAGATCACTGCTTAGGACGGGCTCGTGGAGAACATGCCGCCCGGCAATATAGGCGATCGATCTCTTCGTAAAAGGATTCAGGCTTGAGCGTGTATGAGTGAGGATTGCTGAAATGATAGCAGTCTTCAGAGAGTCTGGTGAACAATCCTGCAGTCTCCAACTAAGAGGCTTTAGGCTCCAAGCATGGCTGATGGTGTGAACTCTAAACCCAACCCATGACCTCTTCTTTCAGGACAAGCAGAGGGCTTTCTTTTGATACATGCTCGACTGGATGTACAGGTTTCCTGTAGAATCCGCACTGGCAGGGTTCATTCAATGTCCTCTCTCTCGTAATCAAGTCTTGCTGGAAGTGTAGCTGTGGAGCGACTAGTTTCCGAAAGAAGGTGATTTTATGCAGCGCTACAGTCCCGTCTGAATTCTGACAGATTGACCGGCATGTGAGTTGAGACTCCACATGACGTTGCGCAATGCTGAACTCTCGCTCACATGTTGGCATGTGGGCCATCGAGTGAAGTAGGAATGTCCTCATTCTGGCACGCAGAAAGCACAATGCAGCAATCCACCAAGGGCTTCGTCATTGCTACCATTTGTTGCCGTCCTATTTCAGCATTCAATCTAAGGGTGCTTGAATCTTGAGACGGCTGCTTGAGGAGATTTGCTTCAGTCTTGGGAACTGCCTCCGGCATATGGTGCTGATGTATACTGCGATGTTGATTTTTGCACCAAAGAAGTGTGTGTGATATCTATTGAGGCCCTCATTTCGGCATCTCATGCCTGTCTCCTTGACAGGAGCCCTGCTACCCTCCAACATTGGGTTGTTTCAAAACAAGGGGCTTCCTTCTTGCGGACCTGCATCAAGGAGCCGCATTATATAGGTTTACTCAAAGCTGAGAGCACATGGCCGAGGAACTCGTGCGACATCAGCAAGTGCGATGTGTACGTTTGCCCTTCCCCACTTCATGTGGCATACGTGTGCTCCAAGGTGAAGGACGGCTTGCAGAAAAGTGAGAGATAAATGTAAACCGCATGATGCATTCGGGCTTCTAACGCACTGGCACGGCCTCCAGCGCGAAAATACAACATGTAATGTAGTTCGTAATGATTCTTTTGTGCATTGACTTCAGTAGATGAATGTACCAGGAAGTCCCCTAAGAGGGGACCCCATCGTTTTGAAGCCTTCCCCTACATTTTGCCAAGAGTTGGTGCAAGACGATGGGTGAATGTAGATATGGTGTTTTGTTTTAAGCTGTCCGAGCTGCGCTGCACCTCCACAGTTGGTTGAGGACAAGACTTCGGAGATTCCAAAGAACCTGATCATTAGTCCAAATCCTTTGCGTTTACGCATTGCTTGCACGGGAGTTTCTCAGAACGGCCAGGTGCCCCTAAGAATCACACCCACAATCTTGACATGCTCCCTGAATGTTCTTGGGATCACTACAAGTACCCCTGTTTTGAGAGTTCCACATTTTTTTGTGGGGAGGTGTCGTCTGAAACCTTCTGAGAAGCCACCTCTGAAGGAGGGCATCAGCGTCTGCCCACAGAACTGCAACTTCAAGGGCTGCGGTGCCAAGCGGCCGCAAAAAGCAGTCTGTGTGGCTTCTGAGACAAACATGTAGGTTGTAAGGCACTACGGATGCGTGTAGGGAGGGGATGTGACAAGGGGGTTTCAGTAGTGAGTGGCAAGAGACTTGCAAATTTGTGCGAGTACTACCACTATTCGTCCTCAACGATTAACGATCACTGGAATCTGTTGCCTGTGCGAGCGCCTCTACACGGTTATATTATATGAGCTAGGGACTAAAGTGAGTTCGGGAAAGGGGGGGGACCTGTAGGGGAATATATAGGGTTTTAGGGGGGGACCTATTAAGGAATACACCAGAACTTTAGTCCAGGCTGCATATAAGCAGCCCACCCTGAAGTCATGGGAATATGCTTGTTTCATTGTCCTGTATAATATTCTCCCATATTCCCTACAAAAACCCCATTATAACCCTATTCTCATCTAGTCTAGCAGTTTTCATGTTCGTTTCCATTATCCCCATATCACCCAATAAATCCCACAGCAAGCTACTACCCCTAAACCTTAAACCCCTAAATAGTAGCTTCCTTCCTGCTTTCCATGATTCCCTATAAACCCTACACCCTAAAATCCTAAAACCCCAAACCCCAAAACCCCAAACCCCAAACCCCCAAACCCTAACATAAGAACCAGTAAGTTCAGCAGCCCACCCTACAGGCCTACACGGGCGAGATGGCTGTTGAGCAGATGAAGGCAGCGCGCCAAGGGCTTGGTACCCTGAGCAATGGGAATCTGTTGGGAAATATATGGTGGCTTTTAGTGATCATTTTTGGCATTACGCAGGGATATGTAGGGATAATGGGAGTATGTAGGGATATAGAGGGATTATATAGGGAGAATGAGAAAATGGAAGCTACTATTTAGGGCTTAGGGTTAAGGATTTCTCGGTAGTGCTCATTGCTACACTACGTGTGCTCCAGAAATGATGGAATACTTCGGGTGATTCACCTTTGACCCATTTCCTCCGATGAAAACCTCATGAGAACCCATCCCTACCAAACCCTTCCCTCATGGGTTCCCCTACTATCCCCCTCTACACTACCCCCCTCCTAGGTTCCCCTTTAAATAGCCTTAACTAGGCCTAATTCCCATAAGTAACCTTCTAGGTTCCCCTTTATATTGGCCTTAATTAGGCCAAATTACCCCATAAATAACCTTAATGACTTCAGGACCTGAAGATGGAGTGGGTTCTCATTGGCCATTCGGAGCGCCGCGAGTACTTCAAGGAAGCAGACGTAGAGTTCGGACTTCTTTACCTCTTGGAAAGCTCCCAAATACCAAAGCTCTTTAAATTCTAAACCCCTAAACCCCATAGCCCCCCTTAAGTAGATAGAATATGGGGTATATGGGCATCTTTTTTGTAATATATATAGACAGAATGAGGCTTCCCTAAACCCTAAACCCTAGTACGGGTCTTTTTGAAGCAGCAGTAAGTCTCACACTCATTTTGAGACACAACAAGCTCTGCTGGGGAGTTGTTCCTGCTCATGCATGGCATGCAAAGTGTTTATTGGGGTTAATTGGGGTTATACAGGGATATTGGAAAAGAAAATGGAAACTACTATAGAATATCCAGGTTGTCTAGGTTTCAGGGTCTTAGGTGTTTTCCTGTTCTCCTTGCTGGATAGCGACGCTTATCTGTCACTAGTTGTTTGCTTTCTCGACCCGTAAATAAGCAAGCAGCAGCAGCTTGCTGCAAGGAGTCATTCAGCAACAGTGTTCTTCTTACCCTGAAACCCGGGGATGTTACCCGAATAATGGAGGGGTCATGTTGGGTTATTATGTCGGGTTTAGATTTTTGGGTCTATCTAGGGTTCATATGGGGGCTATACAGGGTGCAGGGAGATTACTTCAACAATGGAGAATCAAATGGAAAAGGAAATGGAACATGAAGTGGCATCTGGGATGATAAAAGGGCTTAGGGTTTGGAGTACCGCCTAGGTAGTTATAGTACGAAGCACTACTGTCACCCACCATCCCCTACTGGTACCTCTAGTCGGATGAATGGGATACTTGAAGGTTTCCTACATAGCCTAAACTCTTTTTTGTGTACTTGTCAACGACATGACGACATGCCTACACAGTGTGCCATCATTATTGTCAAATATGATCTCCATGGAATTACGAGTCTTGTTGTTGTTACCGTGTAGTGGAAGCCTTTGAGGCCCAGGTCTTCTTCGGCAGTCATGGGTTGCCGAACTTAGCTGACTGAAATTACGTGCCTTACTACACCTTGCTACACGCTAGCTTTTTTGGGTGAGGCTTTTGGTGTTTAGGGCTTCGGGTTCACGATCCGGAGGTTAGGCCTTGGTCAGGGCTTGAGCGTTGAGCCTCATGAGGCCCAGAGGAACACGTACAAGAAGTCGTGGCAAAATTAAGTACTTATAAACCCTAAACCCTATATAACCCATTATAATGGTTTCCATTTTCTTTTCCATTATCCCTATATTACCCCAATATACTACAAGTACTTGGGTGGCCTGGGAGGGCTCATCACCGAATCTCCTAAACCCTAAACCCTAAACGCTAAACTCCTGTTTCTGAGCTTGGATGTCCTGTATGAGCGCAAGAAACGCATACAGAATACGTTCTATAGTTACTACTACATTGCTAGAATTACGAATATTATGAATACTATAGTAACTATTAGGACGCACAGTCACTGGACCCTTACTGAAGGAGTCCAACGAGCTGCTTGCTGAGAAGATGCACCTTGCCTTGTTGGCTTATGGCCAGGTAGTATGTAAGGAACATAAATTGGAGTTTCTCAAAACAACCCGAGTTAAATCCATACTAGAGACCCCTTCGCTATATTCCTCGGGTCCTTATGTAGCACCCGATTTTGAGAAACTTCCACATGTGATTTCTTCGGGCAGAGCTGTACTCTATCTTGGATGATCGAGCTTCGGCGGAATGGAGCGGAGGGTGGGTCTTCTTCAGCACGGGTGTGGAGGGCGTTCAGTGTCTAGGTTGGGTGACTGTGGGGCGGCGGGTTTTGTTGTTGCTGTGCCATGGTGGACAACACGGCTTCGGATTCTTATTGAGTTTTATGGGGGAAGAAAGCAGTCGAGGAGCGTTGGAAGGCCCCGAGGAGTGTTCAAAAAGTTGTCTTCGTCAAGACCATTTTCTACATGGTAGATCTGTGACCCTAAGCCAGGCTGCACCCCAAGGGGAAACTTCTACAAATTCTGATCGCGTTTTTTTTTCACGGAATTCCTTTGTCATGTGGAGTGATCAAACCACCTACACCGACAACTGAGCTTTCCCCTTGCATGGCTTTCAGGTTGTCACATGAACGAGGAACACACATTGCTTGCATTCCCTGGCCCTTGGCAGCCTGTTTCATCCTATAGCCTCCGCGAGAGGGGACGAGACCCTCCCTGAGAAGGATGAGAAAATGGTCTTTATGCTTTGAAAAGACCTTCACGCGTTTGCAGCATCGCTTGCAATCCCCGAATGTCTCCATTATGCCCAAACGCATCCTAACTCGCACCTCCCCAAGGAAGATGATCCTGGATTCTGGGCTGAAGTGCATCTACGCCATCGGTGAGAAGCTTCCGGAGCGTGAGATGCATGGTCTGCAATTCAGACTGAGGCTTCTCTAGACTTTCCCAAGCAAAGCTAGGAGTTGAATAATGGCTGTCTGGTCAAAGGGACCTCATGGTTGCTTAGGATAGGGAGTCAGACTTGCTGTTCAGGACCCACGCAAAGTGCCTGTCACTCTGCTCTGCTGAATCACTGATCTCCCAGACGCTGGAGCCTCCGGCTTTTGACAGCTTCTGATCTACCAAAAAGAAAAGGACCCATCGATAAGGACCTGAAACCAAAAAACAAACTCTTAGTCTTGAATCCTAAGCCACAAACTCAACAAGGAAGCTCAAGCTCCAAGGAAGGGCCTGGAGTCCACCATGGCTGTTTGCATTGAGCCGCCTCAGCTTCATATTGGCTGAAGAGTTTGGGTGTATAGTCCCCCTTAAGTAGATAGAATATGGCTTTGGGTATATTATACTAAGATTCCCTTATACCCCATATTCTATCTACTTAAGGGGGACTATAGGGGTACAAGGCTGTGGGGTTTAGGAGTGCGGGAATGCAGTAGTGGCAGTTTGGGGTCTTGAGCTGACGAGCCTGCGTTCAGCAATCAACAGTGGAGTAATCGGGTGTGGTGGTTTTGAAGTCTTGGGACCCACTGCTTCTGGGTTTTTAGGGGGCTAGCGCATTGGGTGTGCATGCGTCGGAAAGCCTTGGGTTCCAGGGCCTTCCGGAGTTGGAGTTCAGGATGGATCCCTGCAGCAATTGCTGGAAGTTAGATTACCATGTTCCTGGGCAGTCCTGACGGCTTTGCCTGGAGTGACCCCTTTGCTAGCAGAAGCTAGGATCCAGCGAATGCCTCAGAAGGTAGAGAGCTTCCAGCATCTGTCTGGACAGGATAGAGCTTTTCTTCCCATGGTAGCCCCAGTAAGCAAGACCAGACATCTCACCTGTAAAACTTTGTGCCAACAAAATGTGGGGCCCTTCATGTGGGTGCATGTTTCCTTCAGCTCGAAAGATGTACAAACTCTTCTGGCCATTCCCTATGAACCCTTAATCATACTGAACCTTTTTAAACTCTAACCCCCAAAAGAGCAGCATATCCTACAGCCCCAGGCCCTGTGTCCCACAACTGGACGCCTAACCAAATTTGTGAGACCCTGGTAACTAATGGAGAACATGATGGAGGCTCCCACAGCGACACAGGCGGACGTAAGTACCCCCTTCCCGAATCATGAACCCCCTCCACCCCCGACCATAGATCTTGCCCCAGTACACAACTTCATTATGTCACGTAGGAATACTTACACTTAACCCTAAACGCTCAACCCTAAAACCCTGAACCCTGGTTGAGTAACAACTGAGGCTGCAAGCCATCTTTTAGTGTTGCTGAGTCGGTTATGGCTTGGCTTGAGAAGGCAGCCTGAGATAGAAGCGGTTGAGGGCTTAGGTTTTAGTCTCTATTGTCGAGAGTACCATCTGCCGGCAGTCCAGCAGTCCGAGCATCAAGAAAAAGGTTTTAGAGATGAATGCTACCCACTTAACCCTTGTCACTCCAAGGACGAGCATGTCTACTGCTACACTGAACCCGAAGCCCTGATAAACCCTGAACATCCTAACCCTGTCAACCACTATAATTCTAACTTCCATTTCAATTGCCATTCTCTTCCCGACTATATTCTCCATTGTTGTGGGACAATATCCCTCAACTCCAGACCCTAGATAGTAGTTTCCATTTTCTTTTCCGTTGCAGTATCCCTATACAACCCTACATATAACTCCTATATATCCCCTATATATCCTTGCGTCCAGGGGCACCCTGCCTTAGATCAGAGGCAGCTGCAGATGGTCAAGGGCCTGCTGGACCCAACCAAGGCCACCGGTTCAAGGCGTAGGGACCCTGTACATACAGGGTTGAGGGCTTAGGGTTTAGGGTTGAGGCCTGGGATGTAGTGATTAGGGTTTAGGATTTTTGGCGCAACTTGCCCAAGTCTGAAAGACAAGCCATCAATTCTGGCTGTTGTGGGCATCGGAAGTTCTTGATTCAGATTCTTTGCGAGCCCAGATGTACAAAGCGGTTTACATGGTTGTGTCTATCACCCCTTCCCGCCTGAACGTAAGTTACACTTCCCGCTGAAAATCGGTATGTCTTTTGTAGCATGTACTTGCGGTCAAGTTTTTTGAGTCCAGATCCCATGATGCCAAAGCGAATTTCTGAAGACATGTTTTAGAGAGACCCCTCCCCATATAACTCCCTCAATAACCCTGGCATAACCCCTTTTCAACCATATGTAACCCCATATAACTTTATTCTTCCGTATATACGTCTACATACCCTCCATACCGTATACCCAATTATGACACAGTAGTTTCCATGTTCTTTTCCATTATCCCCATATAACCCCAATATAGCCCCATATATAATCCCCCATAATCCCTGTAGTTTCCATTATCTTTTCCATTATTCCTAACCCTAAACCCTAAACCCTAAACCCTACGTATACCCCCAGGTTGTGATCGCCTACGAGCCGGTCTGGGCAATTGGCACTGGCGTGACTGCGACTGCTGAGCAGGCCGCTCACCTGCTACCACGCAGTTTAGGGTTTTAGGGGTTTAGGGCTTTAGGGTTTAGGGGTTTAGGGGTTTAGGGTTTTAGGGGTTTAGGGGTTAAGGATTTAGGGGTTAAGGGTGATTTGGATTGATTTGAAGGGTTGGTAAAAGATGGGAGCTAGTACAATGGAGTCAAGCGGAAAATACAATGGAAAATTAGATAGAAACTAGGGTGATATAGGGTTATGTAGGGGAATGGTAAAGAAAATGGAGCCCCTCCCCCCATGGTCTAAGTCAGGATCAAACTATAACCTCCCGCCCCTGCAGTGGTGCTGTGGCCTACGGTCTGGGTTGTGAGGATTTATAACCTATTACCCTCACCCCTCGTGGTCCTGTGGCCTGTGGTGTTGTTCACATTTTGCTTATGGAGTATTTGCAGAGGGTTTATCATGTTTAACGGGTCATCATAGAAGGCTTCAGGGAGGTTTACACAGGGTTCATAGTTTTTGGAAGGCTGATGTAAGATGAGGAACACCCCAATCCAATTGACTGTGCGTACGCTTGGAACCCGACAACGGATCATGATGAGGACCACCCTGGCATCTGTGACTGTTGGTGCTGTCGAAATGCGCCGAAAGCATGAGGGGCTATAAGTGATGACAGCTACGAGAATGGCGGCCCTGACGTGCCAAAAGCCATGACAGTTACGAGGATGGCGACCCCAATTGGCCTCATCCCTGTGACTGTTGGGGGTTGGCGGGCTGGGAATGCACAGCGCAGGCATATGAGAAGACCAGAGGATGTTAAGTGGCTAACTTTTGATTTTCTCTTGCTTGCCTAGGATAGTACAGGGTTTTGGGTACAGAGGTGTAGGATGTAGGGTGCAAGGCTCCAGTTCTCTCGTTTCCTAGGTCATATGCCACCTGAGGACCTGACATCGTTCAATTCCGAGGGAGGGAATGACCCACGTTGTGACCAGGTGGTATCTTACGGTCTCTTATAGTTATCATTGTAGATGACACTAGCCTTCATAATTTGCCAACCTTCAAGTCAGAAGGCACAAGGTTTTGGAGGTGGGGATCTCTGCTTCTCACGGCCTTGTGACAGGCTCCTCCCAGGCTTTCATACCTCCTTTGCAGAGTTCCACAAGAGTTTCAATCTGGCGCTGGCATCTCCAAGCACATTCACGTAAGCCACTTTTCTGACGTGTTTCTGTCCCTGCCTTTCATAAAACGAGCAAATCTACGTACATCTACATTTGTGAGGAGGGAGTGCCTATTCAAAAACAACCGCAATCTCTAAATCCTGAGCCCCTTTTTGCCCTCAACCCCTTAAACGTCCCTGAAAAAGTCCCTGAGCGCTCAACCTAGCCCCAGGCCCCACAAAACTACGGTGCTGGGAATACCTGCGGCCAGGCACAGGAGACCCACGCTGAGATCCGCAAGTGGATCGCTGCCAACGTCAGCGAGGCTGCGGGAGGATCTTGTAAGCAGGCTGAAAACGGATATAAACGGGGATTATGATATGGCTTATACTAACTGAAGCTAGCACGCATGAAGCAACAAGTTGAGGGTTTTCCGGTTCATCGCGCTTTGGGTGCTTGGCCTAGGGTCAACGTTTAGGATATTTTGAGGTGTCAGAAAGTCATCTGCATCTTACACCTGGCATTCTAATGCAAGGTGGCACTAGGGACCCTGTTATCCAGATTCAGGAGTGCGCCGCGGGCATTCGCATCCAGTACGGCGGCTCCGCCAACGCCAAGCCCCGTGGCAGGAAGAGTTTGACAGGGTTCAGGATTGATTTGGCATCCTATGGATAATGCGGATGATAGGGGTCTGCATATTATGTGACAAATTCCCATCTCTCCCGCAGGTAGGCGGGCTGCACTGTCCCTGATATTTTACATCTGGCTTTAGCCAGCATCTGGGTCAAATATAGAAATGGTTGTTGGTTCTCTTTTCTACTGCCATTCGGGAACATGAAGCCAAACCTGCAGCTAGATGCAACAATTGGAAGGAAATCTGATAGTACGTTCAGACGAAGGTTTGTTGCCTGTTCGACCCTGAATGTGATACTAATGTGAGCCTTCCCCATGGGCGAGTTCGTGCCCCCAGCTCCCACACGGAAGACTGAATCCTCCGACTGAATGCTCAGACCCCTTCCAAAATGTCAGTCAGCACCGCAGTTCTTGGTCCTAAAACCTCAGGCCCCAGTCTCAGGCCACAAACCTCTAAGCTTCAGGCGTAGGTCTTACATCCCTCATAACGTGAGGACTCCTAAGCCCCTCCTCAAAAGGATCCTAAACCCAACATTCTGACAGAACGCAGCCGCACGGGAGCCGAGGAATGCGCCCGAACTCTCCGCTTGCCCGGACATCGATGGCTTCCTGGTCGGTGGCGCCTCTTTGCACCCTGGTTGCAATTCACTCACGCAGTAACTAAACAAACTTTGAACGTTCATTTAGGAAATTCAGCCCGGGGGTCTCATACCGGGTTACGATTATCCTTGCAGAGCTCCTAAGAAGGTCATGATTGCCTGGGCCTTCTTTAACTTGTACATTGCAGGGACCAGACTTGAGGCCTAAGCTTGTTTCGAGAACCCACATATCCATTCAGAGATGGGAGCATCTCTTGAGGGCAGAGTACTGGACACGTCTCAAGAGGCAGACCCTGCGAATTCTACCCTCAGCCCCCAACCTAGGCCACAATCCCTCCCTACGAAACATTGATGGATTTCATGACAAGCTCATTTGACCAAGCCTCAACTCCTGTTATCCTTAGTGGCGGTCTTGCCAACCGATCCTGATGATCCTGTGGTTTCCACTTGCCTGCAAGGAAGCCGGAGTTCAAGGACATGCCTGGGTCTTTGGGTGGGGATTTTGAGGTGTAGGGGGCTTCAAAGTTTGAGTCTGGATGTTTTAAGGATGAGTCAAGTTGCGCTGGCATTTTGTCAGGATTTGTTTCCAACAAGCCCTAAGCTACCGGCCCGGCAATCATCTTGTATCCTTCCGTGCAACCGCAGCTACGACCCAGCATGTCAATTCTAAGTCTAGTAGCTTATCGGAGTCTCTGCAGTCGCAGTACACTTAAGAATGTTCCAGTTTCAGATGCATTTTGTTGTTGGTAAAGCATAGCAGCTTCGAGATGCCTTTTTTGTGCACGTATGTTCTGTCGGTTTCAGTGTCAGGGTATCTGGAGCATGGGCGGATGCTTTCCAGAGGCACAGCAGGCTTTGACTTCAAAGAAACAGTCCAGGGAGGGATATAGTGCAAAAGCAAAAAAAGGCAAAACACAATCATCAGAACGGGCAGTAATTACGCAGAAAGCTTGGGACATGTTTTGTTCTCCTTCCAGGAATCAATGGAGACGACCGAAATCGCTACGGGTGTTTTATTTGACGTTCGAGGTTTGTTTAAAAACTTGAAGGTGGACAGGAACAGTTTAGGTGGACCCCCCACCCAGTAATAGTAGCTATAACGGATAATAAGGACTATATTCGGGTGCGCTTATAGTCCTATTATACCACTATTACAGGGTGGGGGGTCCTCCTAAGGGATAGTGCTTGCATCGGTGATTGTGTCCAGAGAGCCGCGCACGTAGCATCTACGCGGATGATGGGATTCTACGACGACGCAGGCAGTGCAGATAGAATTGCATGCGAAACGCGACGGATTGCTGGGAAGGCGAATGATGTTAGAGATCCATTTGGGAGGTCACCTAGGGAGGAAATTCTTTTGTGGAGATATACAGGGGAGACACTACTTTGGGTCATTCCTGTCTCCTCTTACATTGTGGTAATTATTCCTGTAAAGGGAGAATGCCCTAAACACGGCCATACACTATCAATCATAGTGCGTGGTAGTTTTTAGGAGAAGTCACCCGGAGACCTGGCAAGGACATCGTGGACGCGATCAGCGCTGCCAAGTCTGCCTGAGGCAGCGGCCGTAAGGCCTGACAGGGAGGGTTTAGGGTTTATAGTTCCCCTTAAGTAGATAGAATATGGGGTATATGGGGATCTTATTATAATATACCCAAAGCCATATTCTATCTACTTAAGGGGGCTATGGGGTTTCTGTCGGCTTGAGGGGTCTGTACAGGGCACATTGGAGAGTCCTAGTTCAAAACAGAGGGGTTTTGGGTAGAGTCAATGGCACAATGGGATTAGTTTCTCAAAATGGAGTTACTCTGCAAGTAAATGAGGTACGCATGAGAACTTCAAGAGGATTATGGCCGTTATTAGGGATCGTATAGTGGACAGGTGGACACACGCCAGTTGCGCTTCGAAGACTTAGTACTCCCAGTCCGCCAAGCATGGGAAAATTCACGTCCTGCTTGGGGGACACATATCCGATCCAGAGAGTGATCAAACTACGCAGGACCTCAGGTATACCCGGATGGCTTTGCAGAGAGTAATGTGAAAGGTAGCAAGTCCAGGCGATATGGACCCCGCAGAAGGCAGTGCTAGCAATTGCAGGCGAAGCTTTTTGAAAGCTTTGAAGGCTCAAGCCCGCAAGGCCTACCTCAAAGCCTGGGCCCCCACCAAAGCCCACACCACACATTGACAATCTTATGACGGCCTCCGTTTTCAAAGCTACTATTGGGGCTTTTGCTCCTGCTGGCATTTGTTTGAAATCCTCCTCCCCCTCCTTGTCCGGCATGTCCGCCTTTGGCTTTACATCTGCCTCCTTCCAAGATCTTCCAAGATTTTGCGAGCCTCGTGTCGCCCTGCTCCAGGTTTTGCAATCGATTGTTTTGTGATCTTCTGGCCGCCAGCTTCTTCGGCACGGCCTGGCGTGATTGGTGGAAGAGTTTGGCCGGGGAAAGAAGGGACGCATTAAGGTTATGTGTGGGTTTTATGGCACGCATATGGATATCAGTCCGTGAGTGCTGCCCTTTTGGGGTGCTGTTCTACAACAATCTTGACAGCGTTAACTTGGGCAGCAAGCGGGGCCCGTCAGATGTTTTTGCAGAGCTATGAGAGATGGGTAGTTAATTCCTTTCCATTGGGCCTTTGGTGCCCAAGATAGAGTAAGATTGTATCCTCTGTGGCCATAGCACTTTACAAGGCAGGATGATGTACTCTTCCTTGGATCAACCTGGTTCATCATTCCTGCTTCGTCATCTCAGGGCCTGAGCCCGCTGAGTTAGGGTTCCTTACGCATCCCATGGCTAAGGCTCGTGGCCTTGCGGATTGTAGGGTGCGGATGTTAGGATCTGGGAACAGCGGATTTTGACAAGTAGGCCTACCCTGAACCCTACACCCCACACCACTAATTATCATAACGGGTTGTGAGTCCCAAGAGGCCGAGAGACCACGTTGACCATTGCATCAAGCTTCCTTGCGATGTGAGATTTCTAGAAATCAGGGGCCCCATTTGGGGAGTTTGGGCAAATATAGGCATCGGATCTTCAGGGATTGTCAACGGTTGTGATTTCCCCCTTGGCCATGTGGATCCCGTAGGCCCCTTAGGCTTCAGTGGAACCTGTATACCCAACTAAACCCTAAACCCTTAAACCCTAAACGCTAAAGCCTTAAACGAAGGAACCCTAAGCGCTAAACCCTGAAACCTACATGTTTGGATTCGTCGCCTTGTTGCATATGCCATCAGCAGCTCAAGCCAGGTGTCTCCTGAGTGAGTCAACGACGAGTTTGGCGAGCATTTCTTGCATAGCGGCAGTTAACATCATGTGCATGGGCTGCTGGGTCGCTGGTAAGGCCCTAAATTGTAAAACCTTAAACCTCTATCCGAAGCCCTAAACCCTAAAATCAAGACCCTAAATCCTAGGCCCCGACAGGCTTCATGAGGTGAGCGTCCGGCTGATACTGGTACTGCTTTGCCAGCCTTCTTCCTGATTGAAGAACCACCGTGGCATTCCAAGAAGACATCAGGGTTTCATGGCGACACCATGCTCCTGCAGCTATTCCTGCCACCGTTTCTACCACAACAAGGTATAACTGCTACAGCTACTCAGGTCATGGTTTGATAGGTTTATAGGTTGCTTGGGCTCTGGGTGGGCTTTAAGGCAAATTATAGTGGGAAGAATGTTTCCCATAGCTCTGATCCAAACTAGCCAGATCAAGAAATTGTACTTTGCTGTGCTCCTTACCTGGCAGCCCTGCAAAATTCTGGTCATCGCCTGCTAACTAGTCAGGGGTGCGTCCGCGTAGCATTTTCTCCGCTGCCTGCACGCTTCAAAAGTTGCATTGCGCGCGTGTGTCGGGGGCTATATCGGCATGGGCATCTTGCAACATGTGTCAGTCTTGCAGGAAACCCGACTCGAGGCGAGCCCGAATGTTAAGATATAGTGGAAGCCGTCGGGAGCCTTCTAGACCTCAGCGCGAAGAACCGTCCATCGATGCTTTTGTGGACTTGGACCATGGGTTTCTGTTGTAGTTGCGGTGAAAGTCTATGGGGTGCTAGGAGTCTGGCACTTGAAGCTTGCCTTATGTTATGTGGGTTGAGGACGAAGACTCCACTGAGACCCAAAATCCTGAAGAAGCCTTCAGCCATGTGATTAAGCATGATCTCCAGACGACTTGTGCGAGGATGCGCAACAAGTGTGTTATAAATCCCCGCTAAACGTACAAATCCTTACAATTACAAGCTCAATTCAGCAAACCCTGAACAATACACCTGAAAAGCCTTATATTAAACCCCCTCACCCCCTAATATTAAATACTCCCAATATAGAATGATGTACCACAACGGGGAGTAATGAATATGAGGGGGGTTGGGGGGGTTTCAATATTAGGGGGAGGAGATTACACCCTATCGTCTCCGCACCGAGGCGAACAGCGCAGGAGTGGGATTCGCTCTTCTTCACGCCTGACCAGCTCACGGCCCTGGGGTTATGGGTTCAACTAGTACCCCCCTCTAAACTACACCCCCTAGGTTCCCCGCTTAATTAAGGTTATTTAGGGCTAATTAGGTTTAATTAAGGTTAATTAAGGGGGAACCTAGGGGAGGGTAGTATAGAGGGGGTACTAGTTGAACCCAGGACGGGGGGCACCCAGAGAGCCCAATACCTGTTAATTACGAAATGGGTGGTAGTCAAAAATTGTGATCCCTTTTTGGGTACCCTAAATATTAGGTACCGTTTATTTAGGGATCCAAAAAAAAGGGACCATAATTTTGATAACCACCCAGATATACCTCAAATTATACTAGGACCCTTAGGATGATCTAAGGACCCTTAGGATGATCTAAGGTGTATCCCTTAATTAAGGGGTATTGGGCTCCCTGGGCTTTGGGAGCAGGATGTGGGGGTTTAGCAGTTGAGCTTTGGGATTGTTGGTAGCATTTAGTTAGGGACTGGGGGTGTAGACTTTGGAAGATGGTGTGGGGTTAGGGGAGTGTAGGGTTTATGACAATTAGGTTCAGGGGTATAGCCTGAGGTTGAGGCATTGTTCTTGGTGTAGGTTTGAGGGTTTAGGGGT